AATTATCCTGTTTCGAGTAAGGTTCACCTCTGCAGGGTATCCCTGAGTGGAGACCCTGTGGTTCAGATTCCCACTTCTAGGACTGGGCAGAATCTGTGAAAAGAGCTCTTCATGCAGGGTAGGACACCCTCAGCTGCCAACTGTTCTTTCCTTGTGTGGCTATGCATGCAGTATGCCCCACTTGTCATTCCTGCTGCAAATTGTATCCTCTAAAATTGCATGTCCATATATTAATAAGTCTCACCTTACAAACATATCCTTCAAACTGATGTTGACACACCTCTATTGAGTTGGGGGTGTCTGTTCACACCTCATGAACATGTCAGAATGTCTTCTTGCTGTGTTCTTGTAAAAGAATACCGGCAGAGCAACTCCATGATGTGTAAAGGTACATCACAGAAGGCACACAGGCTTCATCTTTGCCCTTTCTTCTCTCTTGGAATGTTTGCCCATAGAATCCAGCTGTGAGGAAGTATAAGATGCATGGAAAGGTCATATGTCAGCACTCTAGTCAGCCCTGAGAAGATTCTAGCCAGCCTCAGCATTTGCACCAGATTCTTGGTGAATGAGCCTTTTGATCCGGCCCCTCACCATTGAGTCTTTTGGCTCAGCCTCAGATACTGGGAAACAAAGACTAACCACTACAGTACCCTGTATCAATTCCTTTTTACAGGAAATGTGACAAATAATAATTGACTCTATCCCTTAAACAGTCTAAGTGCTGAGAGGCCGTTTACTACCTGTCAGAGATAACTAATATACCCCCTATCTCTAACTGTCTCTTGAACCTCTGCTTTCTGAATTTTTCCAGTGCAAATCAAAGATTTTTCTTATTCTTATACATTGTGTATATGTTTTTTTTTTTTGTTGCTGCTGCTATTTTGTTTTGGTGAAAAAGTGTGAATAGATTCTTTTGTTTGCTTGCTTGCTTACACTGCTGGGATGGAAGCTATTGACGCACACTCGCTTGGCAAGTGTTCTGTCACTGAGCTGTTGCCCCCAGCCCTTTAAGGTTCTTTGCCTCTGCATATAAACTTTGGGATAAGTTTGTCAGTATGTGAAAACTGACTGGCTGAGATTTTTATTTCATTAAAATAAATACGTGTTTTATTTTTATGTATTTATGTAGATTGAGAAGGGAGGAAGTGATGGCTTGACAGTCCTGAGCCCTCTTGCCTATGAACAAAGAATAAACTCTCCACTCTTCAGTGATGTGATTTCTTTTATCTGGTCTATACTTTTATTCATATAGATATTTTATTCATGTAGATATTGTCCATATTTTGTTATGTTTGCATCTTAATGTGTGTCAGCTGGGAGTCTTCTGTATGTAGTGCTTTCAGCTCTATATATTCTATGTCATCCTTAGTGAGCAAAGGTGTGCTGCCATTTTGCAGGCTGGCGCTATGTTGTTATTGTTTTGCTATGCCTTTTACTTTTATGCAACCCTATGTTTTAGTTCTTAGTATTGTTCCCTGTATTTCTGGAGCCCTTTTCAGAAGTCCTTGCAAATGCCTGTATATCCACCCTCCACATAATATTTTTATTGATTATCTGGGAATTTCACATAATGCACCCAGATCACAGTCACTTTCAGGCTCCCAGGTCTACCTCCCACCTTGTGATCTCCCCCAAAGAAAAAAAAAAGGAACTTAAAAAACAAACAAGAAGACTCCAAAAACCAAATGAAGAAACCTAAGTCCATTTTGGGTTGCCCACATACTCACTGGGGTACAGTCAAATTCCCTATGTCAGTTTTTAAGACCTCTCTTCAAGTCTTTCTTTTGGGGAGAGCAGTAGGGAGAGATTGTCATCGAAGCCTTCTAAGTCTCCCATTCTCACCTGTGAGTCTGTAATCATCAATAGATACCACTGCAGAAGAAGCTTTCTTGCCTGTTAAGTCTGAGGCAGCAAGGTTCAGGGACTTCGACATGGTTTCTGCCAATGCTTATATTTTGAAGTGCTTCCCCATGTCTCCCTCTATCACTGTCAAAGTTTCAGGACTAACAGTAAATAGACTTTGATCCATTTAGAGCTGATTTCTATTCAGGGTGAGAGACAGGGACTTAGTTTCATTCATCTACTTGTGGATATCCAGTTTTTTCCCAGCCCATATGTTGAAAAGGCTGTAATAATTCTTCTAATCTTTAAACTGTAATTTTTTCCATGGGTGTCAGTAGTTAAATTTGTGAATCCTGTCACTCCAAAGTGGAGAGCCCCGATGATGTTTGGATAGTCTCTCCTCCTTCTTTCCTGTTGGTCACAGTTGGTAAAAAAGTAACCTCATTGTTGGCTACTGCTTTCCTTCCTTTGAGAGATGTGGCCCTTGGGATGAGCCTGTCATAGGGAGCCCACTAGACATGCTCACTCAAGACACAGTTTATAGGCAATTGAAAGTCTTTATTCCAGCCAGCTGGACCCAAGCGCAGCACCCGTGTTTAGGGTAAGGATTTTAAAGACAAAGATTACACATCCTGATACCTCACTTGGCAGCTGCCAGTCTGAGGTTTGCAGAAGCACACGGTTTAACAGAAGCTAAGATAAATTAGCTAGAGCATCATGACCTTGGGATGGTGTACTGGCTGGTTTTGTGTGTCAACTTGACACAAACTGGAGTTATCACAGAGAAAGGAGCCTCCCTTGAGGAAATGTCTCCAAGAGATCCAGCTGTAAGGTATTTTCTCAATTAGTGATCAAGAATGGGAGGGCCCAGGCAGGCGGATTTCTGAGTTCGAGGCCAGCCTGGTCTACAGAGTGAGTTCCAGGACAACCAGGGCTACACAGAGAAACCCTGTCTCGAAAAACAAAAACAAACAAACAAAAAAGAATGGGAGGGCCCATTGTGGGTGGTACCATCCCTGGGCTGGTTGTCCTGGGTTCTATAAGAAAGCAAGCTGAGCAAGCCAGTAAGTAACATCCCTCCATGGCCTCTGATCAGCTCCTGCTTCCTGACCTGCTTGAGTTCCAGTCCTGACATCCTTTGGCAATGAACAGCAATGTGGAAATGTAAGCTGAATAAATCCTTTGCTCCCCAACTTGCTTCTTGGTCATGATGTTGATGCAGGAACAGAAACCCTGACTAAGATAGATGGGTACACAATGGAGTTGGGTAATTTTCCACAGGACTCTTCATCAAGCAGATCAAATCCTAAAGTAAAATAGCCTCAGCAAGAGCACAAGATGGAGTAGCTTCTCCTTGTCCTGTCACAAGCCTTCCTAGCATTTTAGGTGTAACTTAAACGTAAGAGTTAACTGAACATGGGAGATAATATGCGGTCATCAATGATGCTTTCTCTGAAAGATCTTGGCATAAAAGATGGAAAATAAGAAAACTTATTTAGTAGAAGCTTCAAATTGCCCAGTAAACTATTTTCTTTAATCACAGTGCCCACTCCTAAAAATACACCCAAACTAGATGTTCTAGCAATTATTTTAAATAAATAAGTTGCTTTTTAGTGTCTGATGGTACACAGTCATTCAACTACTAAGTTAAGTAAAAATAACTACACAAAACATCTTGCCTTGGTTTGTAAACATTAGCCTACACTTTGGGGACAATATTTACAAGTTTTCTTTTTTCCTTTCTTCCTTTCTTCCTTTCTTCCTTCCTTCCTTCCTTCCTTCCTTCCTTCCTTTCTTTCTTTCTTTCTTTCTTTCTTTCTTTCTTTCTTTCTTTCTTTTTTTTTGAGACATTATTTCTATGTGTAGTCCTGGCCGTCCTGGAACTTGCTCTGTAGACCAGGCCTCAAACTCAGAGTTCTGCCTACTTCTGTCTTCCCAGGGCTGGGATTAAAGGTGCGTGACACCACTGCTTAGCTATAAGAGATTTTTAATTCAAGAAGACAAATTGGAAAATTAATTACAATAGAATGAAAGGCCATCTAAATTTCTGGTGTTATTCCAAAGCCATTCATAGCTGTTAAGCTCACTGATTTACTGGATGAAATGTCTGGGGTTACCATAAATAAAAAGTATTGTGGGATAATTTTTATTTCTTTAGGGAAATATGCAAAAATAACTTGAATTTCTTCTCAATCTAAAATCCACTGGGCCCAAACTCTATTTTCACATTCAAATATACAACCTACACAGGCTGCTAAAATGCTGTGGTCAGCCAGACTGACATTTGCAAAAAGGTAACTTTCATTTATTTTATTACAGTTCATAATAGTATTTTCGTCATGTCATTTGGGTTCACTTAACAGAGAACGGAAGAGCAAAGCATACTGAACTGAAGTAAATGTTGGAGAAACACTGGAAATAGCTAATCAAGGCTTAAATGAGCCTTATCACTGTTGTCTATTGGTTTTCGTCAGCATCTTTGAATGTCTATTTTCGTGGGTAAGAGTGATTTAGTGATAAGCTATTCTTCATGGACAGCTCAGTCAATACTTACAAGTTCTAGGAAGCCAAGTCTCTTTTTTAATTTAAGCGGTATGCAAATGACACCATCCTTAGCCTCTTGTGAACTACTCTATGACACAAAGATCTTGCATTCCTGGCAGGCTCCAAGGGCATCAAAGACATCTCTTAAAAGTTATAGGAGCTACACATTTCCGGATCCTTGCCGGACCCAGAGAATTTCCCAAAGGAAGTTGAGTAGGCGACACGGTGTAGCCGAGGCTGAGGCAGAAGGATTGCAAGTTTGAAGCTAGTTTGAGGTGTATAGCAATACTTTGTCAAAAACCAATCAGCCAGCTTTTAGATTCTAAGAAAATTTAGGGTCTGATCAGTCGCACCATAGCGACCAGATGTCCTCCGCACTTACTCCACAGGCTCTCCCAACCCCGAGCCTTGCGCCTCCAAAGCCGCCTAGCACTGCGACTGCCTGGTGGAGGTGGCCCCCAAACGGGGAAACCCAGGCCCCAGCCCTCCCCCATCCCCTGCCCAAGCAGCGAAGCGGGCCAGGGGTTACGCTCGGCGCTCGATTGCTCGAGCCTGGCGAGGATAGACCTTGAACGGCTCTGCGCTCGAGGGGTCGAGCCTGGCCCGTTGCGGCGGCGGCGGCGGCGGGGTTGGGCGTGGGAGCGAGTCCGCGGCCGGGAGCGGGAATGTCGAGGAGTTCGAAGGCAGTGCTGGGCCTCTCGGTGCTGCTGACGGCGGCCACGGTGGCCGGCGTGCATCTGAAGCAGCGGCAGGACCGGCAGGTCGGTGTCACGTGACCGCGTCTTCCGGGGCGCCGATCCCGCAGCTGTCCCCGCGCGCGTGGCGGGCCGGGCGGGCTGCTAGGGCGCGTTCAGGTTTCCGACTCCTGTCCCCGGCCACGAGGCCTAAGGCTGGGGCGGAAGCCTCCGGGCAGAGGTGTAGCCCTGAGAGAGCAGGTTGGGTGAGCACGAGGCCCTGGGGGCATCACAGCCCACAAAGCAGTACGGAGATAAGGCAGCTCACACCCAGCACACCCCCCAGTGCCTTTGGCCAAAGTAACTTGAGATTTTTGCAACTTGCGTAAACAATCAGTCTGCTGCGAGACTTAGGTTCAGGAAAGGGTAAAAGGTAAAAAACCCTTCAGGTTTTCTTTTGATGGCTTTATTTCGGGGAATATCTGGCTTATTAATCAGCGACAGACCAACTCTTCCTCATTCCAGTTTGCAAAGGCTAGTGCGGTGAGCACATCGAGAACACGTAGTTAATTATAACCTCTTGAGAGTGTTCTTTTTATAATGGTGCCACACCGTGCAGGCCAGTATTTGGTATTTGCTCTTTCAAGCAACACCTTTACAGGTATTTGATTTGAACTGGATTTGGCAAAGGCAGAAGTAATGAAAAGTACCTGAAAGCCTCCAGAGTCAGCAGCCCATTGACCTTAGTATTCACAAACTAGAAGTCAGAGAGGAGTCTTGTAGTGTCCTAAGAATTTTGAGGAGCAGGGTCGAAAAGCAGTGATGTAGAAGCACTCAAGAAATTAAAGATTTGGGATTAGAAAGTGTAGTTCCCTGGGGATATCTTTTGGAGTAGAAGCAAGAAACTTCCTTCTTAGGAGGAAAAGGAAAAGATGGTGGTTCTAATTAAACTTGAAAGACAGGATGTCTGTGTCCTCCTGATCTGTTTCGGAGACAGTGGTTTGGGATCAGTTTTGTTTCAAGCTATATTCCCCTGAGAAGTTTTTTACAATGAGAGCAGACCAATTAAACCAAATCTCTAGGAGCATGGAGACTCAGCTGTGTTCCAAAAGGCATACCAAAGGCTTCAATGAAATGGTTAAGAATCACGGTTTGAGAATGGAAGTGTGGAAAGATCTAGTTATTTCTTGGAAGTTAGTGATCAAGAAACACTGACCAAAATAATCTGACCTGTAGCTCTTCATTAGCGACCTTCTGTAACATCGAGGAAGGTAGATGTGTTGAAAACTTCAAGGCAGCAGCAGAAAATGAAATAATGGCTTGTTTTCTGTCTACCCTACACCAGACGTGGTGTTTTTCACTTTACATACATCATCTTTAACTCTCAAAGGAACTTAGTAGAAACCAAGTACAGAAGGTCCTTAACTTATAGATGGTTCAACATAAATTTTAGGAAAGCAGTGTCGTTTGTATTTAGTGAAACTTTCTTTGAATATTGAATTTTGCTGTTTTCCCAGGCTGGGGATCAGTGGTAGGATTCTTTCAAAATGCTGGGCAGCAAAACAAACCCCAGCCCCCTGGCAGCCCCAGGGTGCCGATGGTCTATGGGATCATGTTTTGCTGAGCCCTGGCGTTTGCTAGGTTAGGTGTTTTTAGAACACCCTTATTATTTTCAGTTTATTATGAGTTTTTCCAGGTATAGTCCTTTGGTAAGTTGAGGAATGTTAGTGTTTCTATGACTCTACAGGAATCACAGTTCCAGATGTTAGGATTTAGGTTAGTAAAGAGCTGTGTTAGTAGAGTGTTTATTGCCATGACAAAGCACCATGGCTAAAATTACCTTGGGGTAGAAAGGGTTTAACTTACAGCTCCATATCACAGCTCATCATCAATAGAAACTGAGGCAGTAACCTGGAAGTAGGAACTGAGGCAGAAGCCATGAAAGAAGCGGCTCACTGGCTTGCTTATTTTAAGACAAAGTCTTTCTGTGTAGTTTTGGCTGGCTTGAAACTCAGAGAGATCTGCCTGCTACTACCTCCTACATGCTGGAACTAATGTGTACCACTATGCTGGACCCGAGCCCCTCACTCTTAAATTTCCCAACTCCCTGGGTGTAGCAAATGAAGCTGTAGGCCTGGAAGAGGCTCAGTAAGTACTAAGTGAGTCTTTTCTTTTTTCTCTTCTCTTCTCTCCTCTCCTCTCCTCTCCTCTCCTC